AAAAAACACACATACTGATACACAACCCCAAAAAATATGCAGACACACAAACTGACAACATACGCAATTATCATTATTATTGCCAGTTATATAGCGCCAACAGATTCCGCAGCGTTTTACGATATTATGAGAGTGGGGATTTAACTATAAATATGACAATTACAAGAAAACTTACAGGAATGATAGGTTGAAAAGGACCCTGCTCAAACGAGCTTATAGTCTATACATGACAGCAAACAGATACTCAGACACGCATGCTGACAGACATACTGACACACACATTGACAGACAGACATACTGACATACATACATGCTGTATTTACATTTAGACACCCTCCAGGTTCTTTCCTTTTTTCTGTAGGGTGGCTTCCCTGGGGTCCAGTGGCTGTGAACAGCCTCCCCACAATCACATAGCTTTTTTTAGTGCTCCCTTCCTTGCTGGTCCAGTGTGCCGGCTCTCCGGTCTGCATCTCCGTCTGGGTGAGCTGCAGATGACATGAATGGGTTCTCGCAAGCTCCGGTGGTAACCCGTGCAGACTGATGGAGGGGGCCCGCACCCAGCAGCTTACAGGGCTTACTGGGTCCTCTCCTGGTGTTGGGCTCTCTGTCACTGACTAAGGACCCAACTAATTAGCCTGGCCTTAAGCCACCTAAAAATCACCCAATTAGAGAACCGCCTCTGCTACATATATATATATAATGCCCCAGTGTGTCCTATGGAACGACCAGCCCTGTACACACTGCACATTACTGGGGGCTCTGCAATATCCCATTACTGGGAGCTCTGTAATATTCTAGTACACAGTGTACATTATTGGGGGCTCTATAATATCCCAGGACAACCTGCATGTTACTAGGGATGCTGTAGTCACAGTACACACTGTACATTACTGTGATGTGTTATACCTCCAGTACACTTTAATGAGGGTTCTGTAATATCCCAGTACACACTACACATTAGGGGCCCTGCAATTTCCTATACAAACTCAACATGTCAGTTGTCTACACTCCCTTCCCATAATATTTTCATTTACAGTATACCTCAGTCTCCTATCCTCCACTGACTGAGCTTGTGTTGTATTCCATAAAAGCATCATATGATGAGCTTGTCAACCAATGCAGCTCATTTGGAGTGCAGCTCTGATCAAACACAGACAGATTCAGGGGGGCATGTAGTTGTAGTGTGTAAATAGTTAACCTTTGGCACTCCAGATGTTGTGGACTACATCTCCATTAATGCTTTTACAGCCATGATGCTGGCAAAGCATCAGAGATGTATTCCTTGCCAGCAGCATGCCCATAGCAGCCTTAAAACTTCACGTGGTTCTGAGTGGTGGCAGACTGCATGGACATCCCTTGATGACATCAGATGACTAGCCCTAGTCTGGAGCTCTCACCGAGCTCAATCAGGAGCCAGTGACATCAGCCTATCACTGGATTATAGGTCTGCTGCTTAAAAGGGAAACAAAGTTGATTTCCTGGCTCTATATAGTGCTCCGCTATGTGAAGCTCTCTGGTGCGTAAAGCATAAAGGTTTAAAACCCCAATGTCTGTTAGCTGAGTCCAGCACAATGTCCCTCTGTGTTGGCTTGAGCTCTGTTCCTCCGCAGCCGACCTAATGCACGTGTGGCAATGGCTACGCTTGCATTAGTACTTTCCCCATAGGAAAGCATTATACAATGTTTTTTTATGGGGTTTCGGGTGATGCTGAATGTCATCATGCATAGTGTGAGGATGTCCAGCATGAGTTAATAGACCAAGATCGCCTAATGACCTGGAAGTCAGCCACTAGAGGTGGAGTACACAAAAAGTAAGAATTGCAGTTTTTTAAAACCACAATAATTACCATTGCAGGATTAAGGGACCTAGGAATATGCATCCAGACCACTTCAATAAGCTGAAGTGGTCTGGGTGTCTATAGTGTCCCTTTAACCTGCCCTTATGTTAATTCAGTCCTAGTCACTTCCTTGCAGTCCCCCAATCCTACCTGTTTCTTTTGCTTTCAAAATGTATATATCATATTCTACAGTCAGTCACATCTCCCACTTTTTTTTTCCAGTGCTGCAGCAGTAAACAGCAAACTGCAGGTGTCATCTGCAGCATTGGGAGATTCTTGAATCTGATCTTGAATAGGTCACAATTTATTGATACGCTACAGATCTGCAACTTGCAGTTTGCTGTTTACTGCTGCAGCACTGAATGGGTTGTAGTTATGGAGTACCTGCTTTTAAGATACGATGTAATTGATTTTAATGATTCTGTGCCATGAAAATTCCAACCCCATAATTTTGCTGTAATGCATGAAGGGAGCAGATCAGCCTCTTGAAATGAACTAATTAAAATATATATATATAAAAATTTTAATCGATGTTCCATAGTGTTCATATTTATTTTCTCCAGAACCACATACGCTACAGATCTGCAACTTGCAGTATGTGGTTCTCAAGAAAAAAAAAAAAAAGATCAACACTGTGGAATATCAATTAAAATTTTATTTTTAAAGCTATTTGACATGATGGCAAAGTACAAAACTAGAGGGAGGAATTGGAATCATTTTGCACAATTAACTTTTCTGAAACCAGTGTGAAGCTGGATCACAGCATGGCCTCTCATAACATGTTTCAGAGTGACCCACTAAGGACCCCTGGGGTTTTGTAGTGGTACACCCACATACAATATGCACATGAATATATATTGTATGTGATTTCAACCAAGAACTTTGCTGTTCACCGCAAAGAAAGGGTTAAAACAGTTAGCTTAGTGAAGGTTAAAGTGGTTTGTTCTCCGATTAATCTTAGAAGTGTTAAGTCTTACGTTGTTAGGGCAGATTCTCATTTTAAACAGCTATTTGGCTAAAACAGGTCATTAAGCTCTTACCACAAAACTGAATGCCCTCTTGCAACTTTTTACTAGCATCAATAAACGTTATGGGGAGAGAACGATTCATTTCGGTAGATGGGTTTTATTCTGGCAACAAACCGTTAAATCCCAGGGCAGGTGTTATTTGCGAGATGACAATTGTTTCAATGTAATAGAACGATTAAGGAAAATGTACGTATAATCTGACACTATTTATTAAACACTCAAAACAAAACACATTAACAATTACTTTAATTTAAAATATTTAACAAGTGATTTCATACAAATAATGGTGAGAATGCACAATTTACATCAGTGCTTCGTAAACATGACTTAAAGGACTATGTTAATCTACTCAACAGAATATTTATTAAAGCACAAAATTTTATATAATTTAAAGTCTGTGCAAGTTTTCAACTTAGTCTGACTGTTCAAATAGAAGTCCCTGGATAATTTTGTAAATGGTTTAAAATAAAAAATAAAACAAAATATTTCATAAAGGTAAAAAACTTTTTACAATAAGCAAAACGCAATTTCATTTTTTTTCATACATAAAACACCAAAAGCCAATTGCATATACAATTTACAATACCGATAATATTAATAAAATGCCATTACATCAAAAGCGAGCAACAGACTGCTATTACAGATGTGTAGGACCAAACGTTTACCACTTTTATTGTGAAAGGAACACTAAAAGGATAAACACAAGATTGGCAAGAAAAACTGCTGACAAATACAGTTTACATCATTAAAACCACACAAAAAATTAAAATCACATCCTCTACTATATGGATTCTACAAGCAATAAACAATACCTGTTTTTATAACACTGCTTATATTTGTGTTTTTTGGCACATTAATAGAGCACCAAGCACCATAACCAGTACAATCTGCTGTAGTGGTTATGGTGCCAGAAATGCTCTAGTGCTCTCACAGGATAAATAATTGAACAGTTTGATAAGTTACCTGGAGTCCACTGGGTGGCTGCTGCCACCACCTTCTTTGCACCCGAAAACTCTGCCCCCTAGCTAATCTCGGCAGTGCAGAGAAGTGCGTGTTGGTTGAGTGCTCAGCTGATGCTCTCAGCTAATGTGCACTTCCCTGCATGGCTTAGCGGAGCGGACTAGAACTAAAACTCAGTGGAACGGAGCTCAGTTATCATATCATGCTTAAACAGTTTCATTAATTTACTTGGGAGGGCACCATAACAGGTGTCATAACCAGTACAGTGGGCAGTGTTTTGTTTTAAGTTCTCTAACTCACCTATAAGATATACTCCTTTCTAGATAACCCCCTGTGGCATGGTGGCTAGGGGCATAAGGGAGGACATTAGGTGGAAGTCATATTGACCACATCTGTTTTAATTTTATTTTTTTGTACACAACTCATGTTACACAGTCACACATGAAAAACAGTTACAATTATTTGAAAAGAAATAATCTTCGTAGGCAACAGAGTAAAGGGGGGGAGGGGAACAACTGACTTTTTTCATAACTGAAAAGATTGTTGAAGTGTTTCTCCAAGAACCATGACCACTTAAGCATGCTGAAGTGTACATAGTGCAAGGAGTCTGTATGTGCAGCATTACAGTATAAAGAGTTACAGTATGCTGTACATACCAAGATAGCTGATGAAGTTGCCAAAAGGCATTGAGAGTTCAAGGCTAGCTAATGTTACATCTGTGCATCAACATGAATAGAATGCTGGCAACCGACATACAATGGAGGCAGGGTCCACCCCTCTGTGCTGCCCTAAGACCTCACTTTGCACGGCCATCACAGAAGGATAAGGCTGCAGGGAAAACTTGTCCTTGGTGGTGGATTAAAGAAGTGTTCTTGCCTCAAAAAGAAAATAAGCCATTTCAGCATCAGTAACCAGCAATGATGACATAATGGCATGGCATATTACTGAGAACTGGTACTTAGATTTTTCCCATTTTCATACTTTGTCTATCCTACAAATAATTTTCTATGCACAGAGGATTCAAGTAATATAAAAAGCTATCTGTAGTTTGAGAAAAAAATAAAATAAAATAATTTTGTCAGACAGGTTCTGTCTTCTAAATCCAAGTCACGTTCTTTTCCAGTGGAAGTGTATGGTCCAGATTGCTACACACACACCAGTCTGTCATTAATGTGCTATAAAGTGCTCAAGAATTCTTTAACCTGGGAAAAGAAAAACAAAAAAAGACAGAGGTTAGTTTTATCGCTCATTATATCTCTCTAAACTGATCTACACAGCAATAAAAGTGTCCTTTTATTATGCAGACATTCAGATTATTACAGAATAAAATCATGACTTAATATAATTTATTTCCATCTTATGTTAATTATTGATAGGCACCAGTTTATACTAGTATATGCCTCAAGACTAGGGGGAGGTTTATTCAATAAACTTATAATTGTACCGAATTTAAAATAACATTGTTATTCACGAAATTGAAAATATAAGGTAAATTTTAGGTCATAACAGCTGAATTGGTGATATTCTCTAAGCCAGCTATGTCTCCAGGGTCTGCTTCTTCAGCGTTAAAATGTAAAATTCACTCTGAATTCTCATTTTTGTGTCTAACCCCGCAAATTGCTAAATTTAGTTAAACAGTGTTTTGGGAAAATTATTTAAATGAAGTATAGCCATGGCTTGGTTTTTACAGTCTAAACTTTGCAATTCAGTTCACATCACAGTACCCAGGTTTGATTCTCTGAGCAAGTTTGGTATTACTCTGCTAAGAGAATCCAACCCTCAGTGTTAAATGAATAAACCTCTAGTCTAGCAGAAATGAGCAACCACACATACAAAGTCCAACACTGCCACCTAGAGATGAGCTACAGAAACAACTGGTCAGATGTAGCACTTGATAGTTTGAAAGGCTGCACCTCATACAATAATAAAAAAAATGTTAAAAAAGGATGAACATGTGTGTATATATACATACACACACACACACACACACACACACACACACACACACTCTCACTTTTCTTTCTACTAAAAAACCACTGATGAAGTTTACACTTCCTGTAAAAACAAACACATTTACAAAGGTATAAGACACATGCAGCCTCAAATTGTTTTATTACATCTTCAGCACTGGGCACACAATAACAGAGGCGGACAAAACAGGTAGCTATACCAGTATACTTAGTCTTTTTTTCTACTGGACTATGTATGTATTAAAATGAGGAGTTAAAAACTGGTCACAAAATTCTATACCGTCACCATAATTTCAGGATATAGGGAGCATCCTGCCTTGAGAAAGGCTATTTGCCAAAAAGTGGTGATTCTGGAGTTTTCTGATTTATTTGTTACAGTACTCATTTTGTGGTAAATATACACACACACAAACACAAATATATAAACAAAATTGGGGGGCAGTCTTACACATGGGATGTCACTGCAAGGGCTAAAAACAAACACTCATGCGCAGGTCCTAAGTTAAGATGGCACATGCCACATTTCAGTGTGCCATGACCCACACACATACCAGGCCTTCTTTCTGACAATTCATTTCGGAATGCTGTGGCAATGAGGAAGAGGTCCTTATTTGCCTGGGAGCTGCAGCAGACATGAGCACTTGCCACCACCAGAGCTCCAGAAACATGCCATTAAAGGAGCAGCCATATAAAGTTTTGATCTACCTCAGGTAGGTCTTGCTTTCTGATTTATGTTTATGGGGAAGGAAATGGGGATCAGGGAGCAGAGGGAATATACAACTGTGATGTCCCAGCATGCCCTCACACCACCTGCTGTATTGTGGGTGCTGTAGTCTCCCAGAATGCACTATAGGGTCATTAACTTCACAGAGTACCGTAGCACAGGGGAGGCATGACAATCAGAAGTCACTTCTAAACTATCAAAGTTGTTCTATTTGATGTTTAAAAAATGGATTTCTTAATTTTGGGCCCAAAAACTAGGGGTTGTCTTATACACGGAAAAGTACTGTACAGAAAGCAAGATATTTAAAATGTCTTAATCATGTAAAGGTTTCCTTTCTGCCGTTTGATCTCTCGATATCAGTGAATGATATGGATATGCCCTACTTAGTTTGACTGTACTTGTATTGATCTATGGTTGCATGTATTAAGGATAATAGGGTTTCTAAGCATTTACTTGCACTATTATTGGATATTTTTTTTAAACTGTGTGTTATTCCATGAATCTTTTTGCACCACTGAAAAATATTTCCTTAACCATAGCTAGTTGTGACTATTACGGAGATGGAGTACTTTTCCAGATTTAGTGAATAACCCTGCAAATGTCCAGGTCTAAGCAGGGTCTTTAAACTTTATAATATGAAATTTTGTGTCAGGGAAAGTACTGCTTTAGCCCCTTGGACAGAGTTAAAAAAAACAGGTCTGGCCAGGGCGGTCTACTGCTAGCCTTGGGCGCAGAAAAGGCCTGGGTTGGACCTTCCTCGAACAAACGCTCATACAATACGGATTTCCCACCACGTTCCTAAAACTAATTTTTGCATTATACTCGGGCCCTACAGCGCAGGTGTTGCAAGCTGGTTTCCTTTCCGACCTGGTTTCCCTAACAAATGGCACGCGGCAAAGGTGCCCCCTAAGCGCCAGATCTGGAACCACACAGATATTCATGGGACAGACCTAAACGGCCGTAAAAAAAAAAAAAAAAAATCATTTGTGGATGATATACTCTTCTATATCTCCCGACCAGAGGTTTCACTACCACACTTACTCGACCTAATTAAGGAATATGGGGCGATGTCTTATTATTCCCCCAAACATTATCCGCTCTCACGAGGGATTACTCCTTTGAGTGGAGAACGGATATCATCAAATATGTAGGCCTGACCTTTACTAAAAAGCCAACGGATAGCTTCCCCACTAACTATGTTAGAGTCTGGACAGACTATAAGCACCTCAAGAAAAAGTGGTGTTCCCAGTTTCTGACCTGGACGGAACGGGTTGCGACGATCAAAAGGTCCTTTTTACCTAGGCTCTAATACCTGTTCTGCACCTTACCGATCCAGGTACCCCTGTCCTATCTCCAGACAACTCAAAAAGACATATCTAGGTTTGTGTGGGAAGGGGCGCAAGGTTCGGGTACCAGGGAACTTGCTACGGGCACAGACAGGACAAGGCGGCTTCACCCTCCCAGATATTAAAGCATATTACCAGGCAGCAGTGTTGAAATCGGTCCTGCCCCACCACAATAGGTGAAAAGCAGGCCATAAAGCCCTTTGACTTACCCACCACCACGTGGCTGCCCAAACGCTTTTGGCCACTTGTCCCGCTATTGCTGGAGCAAATCAAACTTGCGGTGTGAGCCTGAGACAAGACCAAGCACAACCTAGAAAGCCCTACCCCACACTTAAAACGATTACATACTGCATACCAACTTTCAATGCCAAACCATGGGTAAATAAAGGGGTTACGTATCTATCTCAATTTCTTACACGAAATAAACTAAACTTTTCAAACCCTGCAAGAGGAATATCACATACCGATGGCCTCGCAGTTCTCCCATGTACAACTACGTTCATTCATGCACAAACACGACGCCCAGACCTCCTCCCTCAACGGAAACACCCTAAGTATGACGAACTGGAAACAGATGGCCATTAGGGGCACACTATTACCAACATGTAAGCCGCTCTCCTGGTGCTACTGGCTTCTCAGGTCCTCTATACATTTTGCAGATTCTAAACCGGCGGAACTATGAGCCCATGACTTACAGTGCCCAATACATCGGGACCAATGGAAACTATTATATTGTCGCCCAGACGACTGATTAAATCAGCAACATTGTTTGAACAACATAGGAAGACACTATATAGGTGTTACGTGGTGCCCACACGCATCCACAAAATATACCCAGATTCACCCCCAGTTTGCTGGAGATATGGGACACAGGTGGGCACGGCACTTCACATTTGGTGGCACTGCAATCTCATCACCAGCTTCTGGAAAGCAGTTCACCATCTGATACAGAAAATCACACTCACACGGTTACCCTTCACACCATTAACATGCCTCCTGCTACACATACCTACAGATACAGAAGTTGGCCTTTTACATCCTTCTGACAGCCCAGAGGGCAATAGCAAGATTGTAGAAATCCTCAAGGCCCCCACAGTTGATGGAACTATGTAAAGAGATAGACACCCAACACACCTACGAAAACTGCTACCGCAGTATCTTCCCCATGACGACAACAGCCGTAGAGGCTTAAGGGCTTTGGAGCACCTGGAGATCGGGTGGGCCTCCGACGACTTGGTGACACTTGGGTACGTAGAACTTGTAGGCCAGAGCATATCACAGAGTGTACTAATAGAGACTAGGAACTTGGGATATGTTATGCCGGGGCTAAAGTAAGGTTTAAGTGCCACGTTGTATGTAAGCACAAATGTGTAATAAAATAGTGTACACCACAAATGTAAATGCACTACCACTGGAATTTATGTATGCCTCCCCCCTCCCTCTTTCCTTCTGTACCCTACCCTTCCTCCTGTTACGTTGATGAAAATGTCAATAAAAAACATCAAATGGAAACCTACTTAAGGAGGCATCTCTACATAATATAGTCGTGCTGTTTGTGTACAGTACTACTCGACAGAAAGTTTAAAAATGCATCTTACAAAGAAACAGTTAATGCAAACCTGTTCACTTTTAATAATGTCTCTTTAAAACACCACTATGTGGTTATAAATACATATTTGTTATTTTAAAAATGAATATATATATATATATATATATATATATATATATATATATATATATATACACACACACACACACACACACGCAGCAAGGATATCTGAAGATCAGATATAAACATGCAAAAGTATGCCAATAAGAAAAAAATTTATATATATATACATACATACATACATACACACACACACACACACACACACACACACACAGTATTCCAAAACAGTAGAACAAATGGTCAGTGAATGTGTATTAAGACACCGACAAGGCATAGCTGATTTTCCATTTGGGCTATTTCTACCTTGAATTTGAAATTCTCACTTTAGTGAACAACCCTATAAATTTTAAGGGACAAAAGAAGTGCAACTATAAAATGTATATATATTTGTAATGTTTGAGTGCTCCTGGTGGCATTAGATTAGTGGGCTCTCCCCCATTACAAATTAAAATACTAAATAGAAACTCACCTGTCACCCAGAGGTGTCCTATCTTATCATGGTTCCCTTTATCTGAGATCACCACTACATCGAGAAGCACTGAGGGCCTAATGCGTACGCAATTCACAGGATTTTCTTCAAATAATTACTACAATGCTTCTCTATAGGGAGATCTAACTATGTGTAATCATGATCGTTCTTAGGGCGTACCTTTAAAGAATGACTCTGATTTTTCATAGATGTAAATTTTATATTTGTTTTAGTAGCCATTCATTTACTACAACTATGCAGTTATTGTGATTTTTACACGAACATGACACTTTTCCATAGTCCCTCCTACATGTTTGAATCTGCTCTCAAAAGCTGGATGCACAACCCCAGTGATGCAGACACTCTGGCAATGGTACTCTTTACTTATATTTCTTTGGCAAAGTGTGATATGTGCTCATCATAAGAAGTGAGTTACTCAATACTTGGGACCATCTAAACATTATTCCCTATAATGCAGTTTGGTCGCTATGGGATTAGTGAGATGGCTTTTCTGCAAGCAGCACCTTTATTTTAGTTCTCCTCTCTCATGGTCATTTATTGGTGCAATTCCTTTTTCTAATGTGGCAGAGTCCTGGAACTATGCGAAGATTGAAGAAATCATAGGCATAAAGTAAATGGAACCTACAGGTAAGTTTTGGCAAGCAAGCAAAGCATACATCTTTAAGTGTTTCTTGGGAAAAAGAAAAACCAAAACATTAAACCTGTAAAATACAAAAGGTTATGAGAGGACAAGAGATAAAGCCAATCAATGTTTTCATTTGTATTCTAGAATCAGATTTGCCAGTGAACCTGTGGTGGAGCACTAAACTTATACAGCTTTAAAGAGATACATTTATGTGTTACCCCTCATTAAATTCTATGATAGACAACAAATTTCTGTTTTACCAATGATAAGTAGTTACATACCTTTTCTATCAAGTGTTCTTGCTTCTGTTCATCATCTTTAAAATCTTCATTCACGTCCAATGTCAGGATAGGAATTTCTTGTAAGTAATTAGACTCCATCCTTTAAAAACAGTGAAATTTAGAGGTGACACACGGGCCATATAGAGCTTATATTGTATATTTGTACTAAAAACTCTTCAGAAAGGCAATGCTTAAAGGGACTCTGCAGGCAACCAGGCTACTTCATCTCTATGAAGTGATCTGGGTGCATGTCATCTAGTTTTAACTCTGCAGGAGAAAATGTTGCCGTTCTAATTGAATTAGTACTAGCCTTTCAATGGTTTCCTGTGGGAAAGCAGTGGATTGGATGATATCTTGATGATCTCAGCCAAGGAGACAGAGTTTCCACAAGTAGACTGGCGCAGTGAGGACTGAAAGGTAAGTAAAGCTTATCCTTCCAACGCTCACAATGCAGAAGAGGGAGATTAATACAATTAAATAAAAACTATTGTGCTATAGTGTTAGGAATACGTTAGTATATCTAACTCTATAGTGCTCCTTTAAAGGCACAGTAAAAAAAAAAAAAAAAAATAGTAAAAACTAAAAGTTATAAATCACGTTTTAATAATTACCTCAACATTTCAAATTTTAAGGATTTTCAATAAGCAACTATAGGACAAAGAATAATCTGCATATTAGTGCTCACTAGGGATCGACTGATTGTCGGTTTTACCAATATTATCGGCCGATATTCGGCAATATCGGTACTGGCCAATAGAGATACCGATATTGCCAATAATGCATAACAGGACCGCCGGGCCCATTACAAGCCTGGCAGCAAATGCTTACTTACCTTTCCAGCAGCTCCCTGTCTAAATCTTGCGAGTCCCGCTGCCGTCAGAGCGTTGCCACGGTTTACCATGGCAACGCTCCGCACAGCACGCAGGCCGTGAGATTTACACTGGGAGCTGCTGGAAAGGTAAGTAAGCGCTTGCTGCCGGCCCCCCACTGCACATCCATGCCACCTGACCACCAGGAACGGTAATAGCCCCCCCTCCCTGGCCAGGTAACAAAAAATTAAAACATATAAACATTAAAAATAAATGTTCTCCCCTTTTACACAAATCACATCCCTTCAGGAACACACACTCTGCATTATATACACACACACTACACACTCTGTATATAATGCAGAGTGTGTATATAATGTAGTGTGTGTATATAATGCTCACATTATATACACACACACACACACACACACACACCACACCGCACTCACTATACACACACACACACACACACACACCACACAGGGGTGTTTGTGTAGTGTTTGTCACTCTGCATTCATTATATACACCCTACACAAACACACCCTGCATTAACTATACACACTACACAGTCACTGCATTAACTATACACACACTACACAAACACACCCTGCATTCATTATATACACACACACCCTGCATTAACTATATACACTACACAGTCACTGCATTAACTATACACACACTACACAAACACACCCTGCATTATTATATACACACACACACACTACACAAATACACACAGCTCCCCTGTCTAAATACACTGCATGTGGCATGTATATTTTGTGCATTTACCTTTAGAAATAGTTTATTTTTTCAAAATGGTAAATGCACAGAATATCGGCAAGTTATCGGCTATCGGCCTGAAAGTTCACAGATTATCGGTATCGGCTCTAAAAAAAAAAAAAAAATCAATATCGGTCGATCCCTAGTGCTCACAAATGCAAGGCAAGAGGGTGGTGTGTTTGGAGTGCAATCTAATGTAGGTGTTTGTCAGGCTGTAGAAAGCACTGTAGTTTACAAAGTAGGTTTAATAGGAGTTGCTAAAACTACCACCATAAAACACCCCAAAAGGTTGGAAAGCATACTGTAACAATTTAAGGAAAAAAAATAATAATATTTATAATAAAAAATAACTAGCTTCTCAATTAGAAGTATTACAACATGAAATTTAGACTTCAGTTTGCCAATAGATGTAAGGGTGAGATGACAAATACGTGTTGGTACCAAAGAAAAAAATAATTTGTTGATAAAGTTTTGAAATTGGAGCAAGCCCCATTGAAACAAAAGGAATGTAGAATTTAGCACACAGAATTGTTCCACTGGTAGATATCAAGGTCCATATTATCTCAGTTAGCCACGTATAGCCAATCATAAAATATTTCATAAATTTACACAAAAGCACAATTTTCTTCCCCTTTAAAAAAGCTACTTACAAAACAAACTTCCTTGTGATCTAGTGTCAAAACTGTATATTTTAAGTAACCACCAATTTAGGGTGTTTTTCACTCAAAATCAAATACCCAGTTTTTATTTATTTACTGCTGACCTGCTAACCAAAGCTAACATACTCAGACTCAACATCAACTTTACAGCTAATTTACTTAAATTAAACTACACCATAAATATATAAAATTGATCAGTCTGATAGTTGCACTGTCTAATTAACAATTACCACTTAATTAAGATCATTTGATTTTGTCCCTGAAGTATACAATTACAGCACACGAAGGCATGTCATACTAATTAGTCAGATTTCATATATATTAGTTCCTTAACAAGTCTATTTAAATGCAAGCTGTATATACAGCTGAGAAACAGTCATTAAAAATCATAGGCTTGGTTTAGTGGATTACTGAAGCAGTTTGCTATTTAAATAGAACTTGTGGAACAGAACACTTTTTTTAATCTAAAAATCAACATTTAACCCCAGCAATAATATTCCCTTAAATTATCTTTCACATACAGCTTCAACTTTGTACAATTAAAATATATGAAGTGTGATTTAACGTGGAATGTACACACATACTATATTAGCAAATCAAAAGTTACCTTAATACATTACCATCCCAATGAGAGAATTATTTTGCTACGGCCCCCTGATTCCCAAATTGCCCATGGCAGAATGAGATGAAACCCTAGTGGTGCACAATACCTGGGCTTAGCAGCCCCATACTAACCGATGTAGTGTTTTATAGTGCCTCCAAATGCATTTGTTTCCTTTAATAGGCAGTTCATCATTATATATATATATATCATAATATCCTATTTTTACTGTCTGTGCAGTGTTTTTTGTGTATATCTAGCTGTCTATACCAGCTGGTAGAATGGATGACTTTTGAACATGCTTCAGAGTGCAAACTCACACCCACCACATTACTATAGTATTAAGTCAACCCTTGTGCCAATGACATAGAAACCTGTCAGACAGGTTCAGGTCAAACTCCCAGAAGTGGAAGGGGCTAGGCACTATATGGAATTTAAATTAGAAATCTCATACCTCTCTGGAAAAAATATAGAAGCTTAATTGTTAACTAAATTTAAGTCAGTTCAAAGGTAAACAGCAGAGCTACACATTATAACACAATTTCACATTTAACCACCATGAGCACTCACACCTGCTGTTCCTCCCAGTATGTATAACCTCAATATTTCCTCAGCCTCCCTTGCACCCCAACGCTTCTCTACTTAATTTGTCACAATGTTCTGTAATATAAATATAATATATATTATACACACACACACACACACACACACACTATTAAAATTTAAACATATGCATTATTGTTTGGTTTACCTGAAAATGGTTCATGTACTTTAATTTGTATTTTGCTAAACCTACCCTTCCAATGCATGTTTGCTGTATCCTCTCTAGTTATATACACATTACTATAGCTGCTGGGAAACAGGCAAGTCAAACTTGAGATGGAGACACTAAATAGCATATCGAACTGTGGGTTTTAGAATGTTAATATGTAATGCAAGGCCCACTAAAATATAGCATTATTTAGAAAATATAAAAAAATTTAACATTTCTTTAGCCAACCCATTAAATATGTTTAGCCAACCTCATGGTTCTGTGGTGAAGCCAGCATTCATGCTTGTAGTGAAGTTTCTCTAGATATTCCACGGGAATTCCCTGTTCTTCCTCCCTACCACGGGAATAGATCCGGTTTAAACATTTCTAAAATGAAAATGGAATGAAGATAAAATGAAGCATTAAATAGAACGTACCATACAGGGTAAAGAGAACCTAGTTAAAAACCAGTTGAATGAAGCTTTAAGTCTTGATTCAAAATCAGGCAGATTTGACACCACTTTAAACAGATTTAATAAACAATAGAATATCTGCCCCAAAGTAGAAAATGCACCAGTGCATGTTTGTATTCCTGACTCTATAGTGTTTCTTTAATCCAGGCATTCATCTTGCTCCATGTCAGCAATATAGTTAATAAGATAAATAATTTTGGTGCATATGCTAGGCACCATTTAAATGCCACAAAGCACTTTAGTAATGGAACCATGTGCATCCAACCTGTTGCCACATTCTAACCATTTTCACAGGGATGCTTCTGTTAAGACAATACACCATGTATTACATCTGATAATCTGAAAACCAAGTTCTAACTGTACAGGAGTTGTCCCCCCAAAACCAATATTTGCCCAGTTTGAGAAAATAAATTAAAAGTAAGGAAAATACATTTAAAAAGAAAAGGTTTTCTAAACAGATTACTTAACGCGTCACTTTTCAAAAATGGGAACACAGCATCTTTTATTAAAAGTTTTATCCGGGAGCAGATGCTTGGATCAGGTTAAGGTGTAATTACCTCAGGATTGGCTCGAAGATAAATGATCCCATCTAATTCTAGATCTGCTCCAAACTGATTATTCATCCACTCATGCCAGTCCTGGTAAACAGTCCATTCAGTTTCATTCATACACTCTGCTTCAAATAAATTTGATGCAAAGATATATCTGGAAAGAAAAATAGACCATTCTGTGTTATGTCTTGATGCGAGAAGAGAAGGAAGAAAAATGGGGTTGTTTTGTTGTGGAGCTGGAGAATGCTATACTTTGGTTCAGTCTTAAAGGGGGACTGTCACCTTTCTGGAATCTACACCATTAAATAAAACATTAAAAAAACGGTTTTCATGAGATGCTCTGATTCCCTTTTAATTTGAATGTAACATGTAGCAAATTATTTCATAGTCCAGTTCAGACAAGGCAAAATAGCACAAAAAAAGTACTAAGCTTTCACAAGCCAAAATTAGATTATGTATAGCGCTGCACATGCACTTTTATTGCTATTTGAGAAGTGCGAAAGGCACTTTATTGATTTTATGCAAAGGACAGAGCTTATAACAATGACGGACAGGGAGCCGAGATGGAGACACCCAGTGACAGGATAAAAATGTGTGTATTTCCAATATTTAATTTTCATACTTCACAAATACACATTTGTGAAATTTAGGGTCAAGTAAACACAATATTGAAAGTGGCAGTTTCCCTTTTAAGGGTTGCAGAAACAAACATGGTAAAGTATCAATGTGCAATGTTTTAGTTGAAAGTGTAGGCTGTATGCATTGTATACATGCAACAAAAATGTAACAATACACTATCTTATATTTAAGTAAGACAAAAACCTGTTTTAAGGCACAGGATCACAAATCAGCTTTAAAACAGATTAAAATAACTTTTAATAACATTTTTCAAATGAAAGGGACACTATAGTCACCAAAACAACTATAGCTTATCGATTTATTTTTTTCTGGTGAGAAGAATCATTCCCCTCAGGCTTTTTGCTGTAAACGCTGCTTTTTAGAGAAAATGCAGCGTTTACATTACAGCCTAGTCATAACTCTACTGGCCACTCCTTAGATGGCACCTAGAGGTGCTTCGGGGGTCAGTGGTGAACAGAACACAAACTCTGCATTATACACACACACACACACACACACACACACACACACACTACACAAACTCTGCATTATATACACACACACACTACACAGACTCTGCATTATATACACACACACACTACACAAACTCTGCATTATATACACACACACACTACACAAACTCTGCATTATATACACACACACACTACACACCTGCATTATATACACACACACACACACAAGCTGCATTATACACACACACACACACACACTACACAAACTCTGCATTACACACACACACACACACACACACACTACACAAACTCTGCATTATATACACACACACACACACACACACACACTACAAAAACTCTGCATTATATACACACACACACACACACACACACTACACAAACTCTGCATTATATACACACACAATACATTATATACACACACACACACACACTACACAAACTCTGCATTATATACACACACACAATACATTATATACACACACACTCTGCATTATACACACACACACACACACTATGTAGCGGAGAGGTAGTATAATCCACAGTATCTCCGCTGGTAGACAGGAAAAACATACAATAATTCAGTAAAGCAAGTACAGCATACAATAATCCCGGTAGCGTTATAAGGATCCTTCCTTCCCAAGAACTAGACGACATATAGGCTGGGAGTCAACTGAAGTTTTATTCACAAGCTCCAGTATTTATGTGGTTTCCCATGCAAGGGGTTTCCTTACCGACTTTACAGGGGTTGTACAGTAGGGAACTACATGGGGGACTTAACATACAGAACATTTCTCCCACCAGGCACCGCTGTACGAGAGGGATACTCCCACTAGAATATCCAGTTAAGTGGATTATCCCTCCGTACAGCAGAACTGGCTATTTACATAAAAATCCATAACTCCAATATTATTCGTGCTATTGTACCGAATGACCGTTCGGCAGATAGCTGGGGTCTGAGCGCATACTTCGTGAAAGTACCGCTCAGATCCTAGCACAATTAGCCGAACGCTGCACGAAATACAGCTGAATACAAATTCTTCATAAAAGTCCCGAATACACGTGTAGAGATAGAATACCGAAAGACCGGAGTTCCCAAACGGCCTGGAAGTCCAGCTGTATTCGTGCCGTCGAGTAGCCGATTTTAGTTCCAGACACTCGACGACCAAACACCGCTGAGCTAACAAAGGATCGAAGATGGCCGCCTCCACGTGGTCGGTATCCGAACGGCGGCCACCCTGAACATCTATTAACTGCCGAAAGATACATTGTTGCAAACCGTAATGGGAGCCACACGACCTCCTGTGTGTGGTCTCCAATTCAGTAGTTTGTTCGTTTCACGAACAGTGTTGAAATTCACTGTTTGTGAAACTACTGTATGAATGCTGGTGGCTTTCATGCCACCAGCATACGAATGCTCTCGTTCACCTCAAACACAGAATAAGTAACATGGACAGTTCAGGCAGTCTGAATGCACAATAACATAAGATAAATACAGTCTTAGGTGGCTAGATTTGCCACAATACACACACACACTATGCATTAATTATATACACACACTACACAAACAGTCACTGTATTATATAAACAGACTACACAAACACTACATTCACTATACGCACGCACACTACACAAACACACTCTGCATTCACTATACACACTACACAAACACACTGCATTCATTATATACACACACACTACACAAATACACACTGCATCCACTACACACACACAGGTCCCCTGTCTAAACACACTGCATCCACTACATGTGGCATGTATATTTTGTGCATTTACCTTTAGAAATTGTTTATTTTTTCAAAATGGTAAATGCACAGAATATCAGCAAGTTATCGGCCTGAAAGTTTACAGATTATCGGCTCTAAAAAAAACAATATCGGTTGATACCTACAAGTAAGATTTTACTATATTTAAGGAGGCAAGAGGGGCCAGGTGGTTTTAACACAGGTTTGTGTTCCTGACCCTATAGTGTTCAAGTAACATATCAGCATTGTGGGGTTTATTATATATACACACACACTACGCTATATATATATATATATATATATATATATATATATATATATATATATATATATATACACATATATACATATATATACACACACACACACACACACACACACACACACTACGCATTATATATATATACACACACACACACACACACTACGCATTATATATATATATACACACACACACAACGCAATATATACATACACACATTATATATATATATATATATATATATATATATACACACACACACACACACACACATATATACACACACACATATACACTACGCAATATATACATACACACACACACACTATATATACATACATACACACACACACGCGCGCACTCAACATTCTACGCACGCACACTCCGCAGTCACCGCATTATATACACACACACTACATTATATACACACACACTACACATTATAACCACACACACACTCTGCATTATATACACACTACACAGTCACTGCATTATATACACACACACACACACTCTACATTCATTATATAAACAGACTACACAAACACACTCACTACATTCACTATACGAACACTACACAAACACACCCCATGCATTCACTACATATACACACTACAAAAACACTCACTGCATTCACTATACACACACTACACAAACACACACTGCATCCACTACACACACATACACAGCTCCCCTGTCTAAACACACTGCATCCACTACATGTGGCATGTATATTTTGTGCATTTACCTTTAGAAATAGTTTATTTTTTCAAAATGGTAAATATACAGAAACTATCGGCCTGAAAGTTCACAGATTATCGGTATCGGCTCTACAAAACCAATATCTGTTGATCCCTACAAGTAAGATTTTACTATATTTAAGGAGGCAAGAGGGACCAGGTGGTTTTAACACGTTTGTGTTCCTGACCCGATAGTGTTCCTTTAAGTAACATATCAGCATTGTGGGGTTTATTGACTAAAGACTGAATTGCAGTAACAGTAAAATGGCAATTCAGTTAGCTTTAGACTAGAGTTTAGTCATTAAATCACAGTGAGAAAGAGCTGGGTGAGAGACAACACAATATGAGCTGGAGTTGAACAAAATACTCTTCTCATGGCTACACAATAAATATCTTCAGCAGAAAAAACAACAATGTAGTTCATGGACAAGTAGTCAACCGCTGCCATCATGACACTCATCAAGCTTGGCTGAACATCATGGTCCTAAGTTGAGGAGATACCAAGGGTGGCCTATATCAAATATAGTGGATTCTCTTGGGGAAATGTTTTTGGAACCAGCTGTAGCAAAAGCCCATCTCTGTCAGTCTGGGAACGTTTACCAATAAATGTATTTTCTTACCTATCACTATACACAGAACGTTCGAAAAAGAGCACAGGGTTCTCAGCTTCTTTCAACTTCCCTCCAAAAGCTTTTAACTGTGCCCTAATGCGACTCAGGCAAGCATAGGATTGAAATGTGAAGGACCAACGGTCAGGTTTTTCATACATCATCTGGAGGAGGTTACCACCACTCTTCTGAGATGTAGACAACTCCTATTTAGGGAAAAGGGGTACGAGAAAACCAAAAAAGAAAGAAAGTCAGTAAATTAAATAAACACCTCGTCACCTTCCCCAAAAGCCACAATAATAGTTTTATCTTACAATGTCAAATATCTAATATTAATTTTTCATACCAACATGACAAAAAAGGAAAAAAGGAAAAAGAAGAACCATGATAACCACCATGACCACTTAAGTCACCTTGGTAATATGTATGTGCAGTGTTTGTGCTTGAAACACTGCACATAAAGATATGTGCAGTGTTTCAAGCAGAAACAGAATTGTGTGCTGGGGGCTAGTTGCAACCACAGCACATGTGACTTAAGCTCACCAATATCAATTCTGTGCATAAAAAAAAATAAACGTATGTCGTTAGTGCACCTTGCATGCTGCTGACAAAAGCAAGGGAAAGATTGTTTCCCCCTCCCACCCACATTGCGCTTCTCCTGCTTCCGTCCATTGCACATAGTTTTGTTTCTAAATATCCAGAGTGCACGCATGCGCTCTGACCTGACAAAACGGACCAGTCTCAGGCTTCTCTGAAAAGCCTGTGATTGGACCAAGTATAGCTACAGTGACGTCAGAGGGGGCATGGAAGATATGTGCCAGGATCTTTAACCGGCACTGGATTCTGGGTGAAACCTAAAGGGTTAGACTAACCCTTTAATATAGATTAGATAAAAATCACATGCACGTTACATACCTCAAATTCATTTTGGCAGCTTTGGACATTGCACCATCTTGCAATAGGTTCAGGAACAACGTCCCAATCGTCATTACATTTCTTAAGGATACTAACAAATGTGGATTTGCCTGCAGCTGTTTGGAAAGAAATATAAGCAGAAATAATTAAACGTCTAAGCACATTCAGTTCAAATACAAAAGCACAGGATTATTTGCTCACTAAATTAGAAATCATGCGTGGTCAAAAAAAAAAAAAAAAAAAGAAAATCTAGGAATCCAATAGTCAATAAAGGATACTAAAACTTTGTCCCCTAGGGGACTCAATGAGGGTTTTTCTTACTCTTCATTCATATAAAAAGCTCTAAAATATGATCCAACACCTGTAAATAGTTAGACACCCATACCCAGTTTTGGTTGTTTTTATTACATTCATTGTATATACACAATAATCACTATCTTTCTCCCAGTGTGTACTCATAGAATTTAAACCTCCTTCCGAAACCATTTCATTTGCTCTTACCAAAAGAAATAAGGATTAAATACAAAGTATATTACTGTCACTTTAAGAACCCTGGGCATCCCGTACTCCAATACACAGAATTATATATAGTAATTCTGTTTGTGATAATCATTTCACATACTAGTGAAAGTAATGTAGCCAACATTATATAGTGTACCATTCACTGGCTATTTGCTACTATATTTAAACGAGGATGCCCCCAGGCTTAATTATATTGCTACATGGCGATGCAGAATATCAAAGAACGGTCCCATCAATCAAATAATGTTTGGGGACCAACTCCTGCCCTAACATCCCCCTACATGGCTACCAAACGTATTGCTACATGGGGACGTAACATATTAAGGAACGACTATCAATCAAATGATGCTAGAGGATTAACTCCTCCCACATACACCCCCCACGTGGCTATCAATTTACAGCGTCATGGCTGACGCTATTCTGATTGGCCAGAGCACATTTAAATATCCCGGGATTTTGGATGGACGGTTCTTTCCCTGACAAATGATTTAACTTCAACTCCGAAACTCGCGTCAGGCTTTTCCATTATCTTTTATGGATTTCATTTTTGAGCACATCACTATGCATGTTTGGTGTATTGACACCCACTTTCTTTAGCTCATATGGCTTCACCATGTTATTTTTAACTTGGGGATTAGGAACTTGGCGCTATTGAGACAAGATATTTAATATATTCACCTCAGAATTAGCCGTAGATTAGAACACCCACGAAGGTGTTACGAGGAGATCTAGGGAATAAGCATAGCGGTCCCCCTATCTAGATCCCGGTATGGGATGTGAGACACACTCCACTTAACATACCGTCCCATAAGGCTAATCGAGGGCATTAAAACCAGTTACCTTACGAATCCATAGATTAACTGCACATACACTGTGCGTCTAGGACAAGTTACCAGGGTTTGAGCTCTCGATCTCTGTGGTGATATTGCTTTCTTTGATGTCACTAGGACATACTCTGTTTGCGCCATCAGTCTTTTTTCAGAAGGTTATTTAGCTATCACATGCTTAGTGAATAATCCCCTCTGTCTATATTTCCCTAACTCACTCTGTACAGTTGATCTTAGTGAGTACTTTTAGATACAATTTGTTACTTTACTAGTTAGACTGTTATAATCTAGGAAACTTCACTCACAGGCGTTTATCTATTTATTCTGTTCTGTGCAAGTGTTGCAACAATGGTATCTTTTAAATGGTAGACTAATAAAGATGTATACATATATTGTTTCTATGGATACCTAAGTCAGCTACAGCACACACAACCCTTTGTCTTGCCCCCGATTTACACCTATTTCCCCAATTAAGTTTACTCGGTATAACAGGGTGCAAATAAGTATCGTGTTCCAACAGTACTATACCAGCATTGAACGTTGCCATTTCTGGGGACGACTTCTCCATATTAGTTCTGTGTATTTTGACATTATCTTTAGGGTCCAAGCCCATTAGGTGGAGCTGGTACCACCATCCTGGCCACAATTTTGTCTTCCCAGGTTGTGATGCAATTGATTTTGGACAGAAAAAGGGAATCTATTTGCTGCTCTATTTTTACTAATATGTTAAGTTTTCATCACAGATTTTTTTTAGTCTTATCTCCCAGTTGTGTTTGCAAGAACACCCCAAGCCCCATGGCATAACTACAGCTCACTATAGTTATGGTTGTTATGGTGCTATAACTGTAAGTAGCTAAACGGTTTCTTAATAAATGTATTAAGGTCTGCTGGCACCTCTCTCCAACACCACAACTAGGACTGAAGAGCTTGAAGTTCTGTTAGCTCATTGGTTGAGGGCGATCAGCTAGCGCTCTCAGCCAACAAAGTAATGGAAGCTCCTGCTTAGGAAAGTCTGCCTCTCCTGTATTAGAAGTTGAGGCAGGGAATAGCTTCTGGCAGACCCCAGATAAGAAGTCAAAACATTCTAAAATAGTTTGACTAATTACAAGGTGGGGCCATAGGCACCATAACAACTACAAGTGGCTGTAGTTGTCATGGTTTTTTCAGTGTTCCTTTAAATCAGGGGTGCCCATAAGGTAGATCTCCAGATACCATGATGCATTCTCATTCTAAAAGCATTCCAAAGGCAGACAAAGCATCAAGGGAGTTGTAGTTCTACAACATCTGGGGATCTACCTTTTGGGCACCACTACTTTAAACTAGTGATCGACCGATATTGATTTTTTAGAGCCTATACCGATAATCTGAACTTTCAGGCCAATAGCCGACAACTTACCGATTACGATACTCTGTACATTTACCGTTTTGAAAAATTATTTCTACACAAATCTACTGTTAACTATACATGTTTATTATTATTTTTTTATTAAGGTAAATGCACAAAATATACATGCCAGTCAGAATTTATGTTTTCAAGAATATGTGTGTAGTGGATACAGTGAGAGTATTTGATTAGTGAATGCAGTGTGTGTGTGTGTGTGTTTTTGAGTAAATATGTGGAGTAGGAATCTGGGGTAGATAGGCGAGCAGGGGCACGACGGTAGACAGGGAGTAGGAGCACTATGCTGGATGGGGAGCAGGGGCACCAAGATAGATAGGCAAGCAGGGGCACCAAGATAGATCAGGGAGCAGGGGCACCAAGATGGGCAGATGGAACTATGATAGACAGGGAGTAGGGGGATTATGGTAGGCAAGCAGGGGCACTGGGATAGATAAGGAGCAGGGGCACTGGGGTAGGCGGGGAGTAGGGGCACTGGGGTAGATAGGCAAGCAGGGGCACTGGGGTAGTAGGGGTTGTAAGGGTACTGGGGTAGATAGGGTAGTAGGGGTTGTAAGGCCACTGGGATAGTAGGGGTTGTAAGGCCACTGGGGTAGGTAGATGGGGAGCATGGACTCCTTCGAGCTTACCCCACACTTTCCAGTTTGTGCCACATTTAGCCCCGCCGCACATTAAGCCCCATTCTCATTGCCCTGTCTGCATTATCGGCAATATCGGTATCTTTATAGATACCGATATTGCTGAAAATTCAGAGTATCGGCCAGACCAATGATCAGTCGATCCCTACTTTAAACCAATTAGCTTGTAAGAAAAATATATCTAGGGCTAGGTCAGTGACACTAAGCTCTCCTCTCCTTACAACACCTTACAAAAACAACAAAGTAGGGGGCTGGGGCCGGGCTGCCGTACAGGCAGGAAGCAGACAGAGAGCTCCTCAACTTGCATTTGATTTTAACAAATAAATCAAGTAATCCTGTACATATTGGAACTATATCTGATGCATACGCTACTTAAGACGCCTAAGCACATCTTGGACTGACACGCTCAGCTCTGTCAAGCTCTTACTGGTTCCTGAAACTACCTGTGGCCAACTGTTTGTTCGAGAGCAAGGGACGCGACCTATCTCTCGCCAAATAATCGACTAAAGTGCTTGGCTGGTGGGGGTTATCCTGATCCCTGCTGGGTCAATAATTCCCCATACTATCCCTCACAATGTCAGATAAACTTGAGGCAATCTTTGAATTGTTCTGGATGAAGCTTGAGCATCATGCAATTGTAGTGTCAGTTCTCAGACGGGCCTGGGGCTGGAGGGGCACCTCACCTGGTCTCCTCTGCACAGCCCCCTCAGGACTGAGTTCGGATACACACATTAAATCCAGTGTTGGAATTGGCTGACTTTAATGCTTTTCCATGGGAGCGGACATACCTACCAGATGCTGAGCTATGTTTTGCAGCAGCAGCTGTAGTTTATTTTGTATTGATGCTTGCTTCTTTTACTTTTTTCTTATACAAAGGTCTGATTGTTGCAGGTGGCCTCAGCAGTACAAGCTACTGAATGTGCAGTCTGATTAGTACAGTGTAATAACCATACTATAGTCACTCATTGTCAGAATGTTTACCTTGATTTTCTCTGCATGCTTTACCACGTCTGACATAATAGTATTTGTGTTATACTTGGCATACTCCTTGACTAAGCTTATCCACTTACTTTCCTGATATTAATCGGTATGTCTAACTTGCCTCCTGTCTCTACCCGCTTAGTTTCAGCCAATGTTTTAGACATATGTGTCTTGCCTGAATCTATTCCACCATAAAATTAGTGCTGTTGTTATTTTGGAATGCCACACATCTATCCTGATATGTATTTTGAACTGCCTGCTATAGCTGTTGGGGCATTGTGGGGTTGTATTTAAATAAAAAAAAAAAAACAAGTAAATTCATTGTAATATTCAGTCAACATAGCATGACACACTAGTGTCACCTCATATTGTGCCATAACACCACTAACTTTCTAATTAGTATATGTATAGTACTTACAACGTGTTTGTTTTATTTATTTTTAAAAATCAGGATTTCCATGTGGCAATTAATTAAACTAATAAGCAAATTTGGGTAGAAGAATGCATCTCTCTCTAGCAAGTCTCCAAGCAAATGTAACCTTTATAATCTGCCAATTAAGGTTATTAAAAAAACAAAAACAAATTATATAGGTGTGCCTCTGAACCATTTTACTCACTGGAACATCAGCTCTAGCCATTTCTTCTAGCAATAGGACCTAATGAGTCACAGGGGTGGAGATTAGGTGTCCCCATACCCTTTCATTTTTGTATATGCTTTATCAACAGCATTCTTGCTCATTTTGTACAAAGAACAGCATTTAAAAAAAAAAAAACAAAAAAAAAAACTATGCAGGTATATTTACATATAAAAAGCAGCACTAGAGATACTATAGCTAGCTGAGCATCATGGGAAATGTAGTCCAGAAACAATTTATAGTGTCATGGTTATACATCACTGTACTAAACCCTCTGCTTGGGCAAAAGTCAAACAATGGGCGTCCTCGGGTGTACCACATAGCTACAGATTACATTTTAATTTGTCACATAAAAAAACTAACTACGAAAAGAAAATGTCACATGACAAAATAATATTTCTGTGCAGATTGTGGTTAACATAAAAAAATAAATAAGACAAAACACAGTGTATTTTATGTTGCGGTGTTTTATATTATGCAGAGTCGGTGTAGAAAAAAAAAAAAAAAAAAAAGAATATTTAAAAGTCAGTGTAGGATTTTTTTTAAAAATTTTGTTGTGGTTATGTATAAAGACCATCATTTGTAATTCAGTCAATACTCTAGCAGTCTGTCCTACAGTAAGAACTAGACTCCAAAAAATAAAATATATTTCTATGTGCAACGCCCCTTTTGTCCTATTCATTATCAATAACCTGTAGCCAGAAAATATTCAAGATAGTATTGGTCTTTAATAAATATATGAATAGTTATTTTGTATTTTAGACTAATGATATGTGTGCAGGGGTATTTAAAAAAAAAAAAATAAAAAGTTTAAATCTTTCTATCCAGTTTAATGGAGGTAAATTATAAGAGATCGTTTACAAAGCAATAAAAATGAAATGTCTGCTCTTTACAGGAAATATATATCCCTGGTGACACAGTAGTGCTATCATGCTGTTCTTTTTTTATCACGCTAGCTGGGAACAGCTGCAACAAAGAATAGAAGCGGGAGCATGACCACCCCCGGGTTAGCCCCCCCATATTGAGAATTTTAACAAAAGATTATTCCATTTGTTAGATCTTTGTTAGATCAGGTTTGATCAACAATTTTTTTCGTTAGATCTACTCTAAAATATGCGATATTAACAATCATTGTCAGGGGGGGCTAACCTGTAGCCAGCCCCCCCTCAACAAAAATTTGGAGAAAATGTTGTTGATTATGATAGCTCTACGTTAGATCAGGTTTGATCAGGCAAAATTTTTGTTTGATCTAGTCTAATTACTGAGATATTGCATATATAATTAGGGGGGGCTGGCCCCCCCTCAACTGAAATTTGGACAAAATGTTACTGATTTTGGTAGCTATTCGTTAGATCAGGTTTGATCAACTATTTTTTTCGTTAGATCTATCACGCAAGAGGCGGTATTCACTACCTAACTTTGTGGGCGTGACTACGGGTTAGCCCCCCCTCAAGTGAAATTTGAATTTTTTTTTATTGATTTTGGTAGCTATTCGTTAGATCAGGTTTGATCAACTGTTTTTTTCGTTAGATCTATCACGCAAGAGGCAGTATTCACTACTTAACCTTGTGGGCGTGACTACGGGTTAGCCCCCCCTCAAGTGAAACTTTAATTTTTTTTTTATTGATTTTGGTAGATATTCGTTAGATCAGGTTTGATCAACTGTTATTTTTCGTTAGATCTATCACGCAAGAGGCGGTATTCACTACTTAACTTTGTGGGCGTGACTACGGGTTAGCCCCCCCTCAAGTGAAATTTGAATTTTTTTTTATTGATTTTGGTAGATATTCGTTAGGTCAGGTTTGATCAACTGTTTTTTTCGTTAGATCTATCACGCAAGAGGCGGTATTCACTACCTAACTTTGTGGGCATGACTACGGGTTAGCCCCCCTCAAGTGAAATTTGAATATTTTTTCATTGATTTTGGTAGATATTCGTTAGATCAGGTTTGATCAACTGTTTTTTTCGTTAGATCTATCACGCAAGAGGCGGTATTCCCTACTTAACTTTGTGGGCGTGACTACGGGTTAGCCCCCCCTCAAGTGAAATTTGAATTTTTTTTTATTGATTTTGGTAGCTATTCGTTAGATCAGGTTTGATCAACTATTTTTTTCGTTAGATCTATCACGCAAGAGGCGGTATTCACTACCTAACTTTGTGGGCGTGACTACGGGTTAGCCCCCCCTCAAGTGAAATTTGAATTTTTTTTTATTGATTTTGGTAGATATTCGTTAGATCAGGTTTGATCAACTGTTTTTTTCGTTAGATCTATCACGCAAGAGGCGGTATTCACTACCTAACTTTGTGGGCGTGACTACGGGTTAGCCCCCCCTCAAGTGAAATTTGAATTTTTTTTTATTGATTTTGGTAGATATTCATTAGGTCAGGTTTGATCAACTGTTTTTTTCGTTAGATCTATCACGCAAGAGGCGGTATTCACTACCTAACTTTGTGGGCGTGACTACGGGTTAGCCCCCTCTCAAGTGAAATTTGAATATTTTTTCATTGATTTTGGTAGATATTCGTTAGATCAGGTTTGATCAACTGTTTTTTTCGTTAGATCTATCACGCAAGAGGCGGTATTCACTACTTAACTTTGTGGGCGTGACTACGGGTTAGCCCCCCCTCAAGTGAAATTTGAATAATTTTTTTTATTGATTTTGGTAGCTATTCGTTAGATCAGGTTTGATCAACTATTTTTTTCGTTAGATCTATCACGCAAGAGGCGGTATTCACTACCTAACTTTGTGGGCGTGACTACGGGTTAGCCCCCCCTCAAGTGAAATTTGAATATTTTTTTATTGATTTTGGTAGATATTCGTTAGGTCAGGTTTGATCAACTGTTTTTTTCGTTAGATCTATCACGCAAGAGGCGGTATTCACTACTTAACTTTGTGGGCGTGACTACGGGTTAGCCCCCCCTCCAGTGAAATTTTTTTTTTTTTTTATTGATTTTGGTAGCTATTCGTTAGATCAGGTTTGATCAACTGTTTTTTTCGATTAGATCTATCACGCAAGAGGCGGTATTCACTACTTAACTTTGTGGGCGTGACTACGGGTTAGCCCCCCCTCAAGTGAAATTTGAATTTTTTTTCATTGATTTTGGTAGCTATTTGTTAGATTAAGTAAGATCAACTGTTTTTTTCCGTAAGATCTATCACGCAAAAGGCGGTATTCACAATCTTATTTTAATTTTGCACATAAATACCAGTAAATTTTCATATCAAGCCACAGGTGACATCATAATTTAGGAATTTGCTTGGATTTGCTAACACAATGTGTAGATCATTTTCAATATTTTTTTTTATTCTCTACATGCACAGTATTGAGGTGATAAAGTCCAGCATATGCCCAGCCTGAACTTATTAGTGATATTTGAATACAGTTGCAAGAAAAAGTATGTGAGCCCTTTGGAATGATATGGATTTCTGCACAAATTGGTCATAAAATGTGATCTGATCATCATCTAAGTCACAACAATAGACAATCAGTCTGCTTAAACTAATAACACACAAATAATGAAATGTTGCCATGTTTTTATTGAACACACCATGTAAACATCCACAGTGCAGGTGGAAAAAGTATGTGAACCCCTAGACTAATGACATCTCCAAGAGCTAATTGGAGTGAGATGTCAGCCAATCAATGAGATGAGATTGGAGGTGTTGGTTACAGCTGCCCTGACCTATAAAAAACACACACCAGTTCTGGGTTTGCTTTTCACAAGAAGCATAGCCTGATGTGAATGATGCTTCGCACAAAAGAGCTCTCAGAAGAACTACGATTAAGAACTGTTGACTTGCATTAAGCTGGAAAGGGTTATAAAAGTATCTCCAAAAGCCTTGCTGTTCATCAGTCCGCAGTAAGACAAATTGTCTATAAATGGAGAAAGTTCAGCACTGCTGCTACTCTCCCTAGGAGTGGCCGTCCTGTAAAGATGACTGCAAGAGCACAGCGCAGACTGCTCAATGAGGTGAAGAAGAATCCTAGAGTGTCAGCTAAAGACTTACAAAAGTCACTGGCAAATGCTAACATCCCTGTTAGCGAATCTACAATACATAAAACACTAAACAAGAATGGATTTCATTGGAGGATACCACAGAGGAAGCCACTGCAGTCCAAACAAAACATTGCTGCACGTTTACAGTTTGCACAAGAGCACCTGGATGTTCCACAGCAGTACTGGCAAAATATTTTGTGGACAGATGAAACCAAAGTTGAGTTGTTTGGAAGAAACACACAACACTATATGTGGCGAAAAAGAGGCACAGCACACCAACATCAAAACCTCATCCCAACTGTGAAGTATGGTGGTGGGGGCATCATGGTTTTTGGCTACTTTGCTGCGTCAGGGCCTGGACGGATTGCTATCATCGAAGGAAAAATGAATTCCCAAATTCCCAAGACATTTTGCAGGAGAACTTAAGGCCATCTGTCTACCAGCTGAAGCTCAACAGAAGATGGGTGTTGCAACAGGACAATGACCCAAAGCATAGAAGTAAATCAACAACAGAATGGCTTAAACAGAAGAAAATACACCTTCTGAAGTGGCCCAGTCAGAGTCCTGACCTCAACCCGATTGAGATGCTGTGGCATGACCTCAAGAAAGCGATTCACACCAGACATCCCAAGAATATTGCTGAACTGAAACAGTTCTGTAAAGAGGAATGGTCAAGAATTACTCCTGACCTGGGCAGCTGTAACCAACACCTCCAATCTCATCTCATTGATTGGACTCCAGTTGGCTGACATCTCACTCCAATTAGCTCTTGGAGATGTCATTAGTCTAGGGGTTCACATACTTTTTCCACCTGCACTGTGAATGTTTACATGGTGTGTTCAATAAAAACATGGCAACATTTCATTCTTTGTGTGTTATTAGTTTAAGCAGACTGATTGTCTATTGTTGTGACTTAGATGATGATCAGATCACATTTTATGACCAATTTGTGCAGAAATCCATATCATTCCAAAGGGCTCACATACTTTTTCTTGCAACTGTATTCAAATATCACTAATACGTTCAGACTGGGCATATGCTGGACTTTATCACCTCAATACTGTGCATGTAGAGAATAAAAAAAAAAATATTGAAAATGATCTACACATTGTGTTAGCAAATCCAAGCAAATTCCTAAATTATGATGTCACCTGTGGCTTGATATGAAAATTTACTGGTATTTATCTGCAAAATTAAAATAAGATTGTAAATACCTCCTTTTGCGTGATAGATCTTACGGAAAAAAACAGTTGATCTTACTTAATCTAACAAATAGCTACCAAAATCAATGAAAAAAAATTCAAATTTCACTTGAGGGGGGGCTAACCCGTAGTCACGCCCACAAAGTTAAGTAGTGAATACCGCCTCTTGCGTGATAGATCTAACGAAAAAAACAGTTGATCAAACCTGATCTAACGAATATCTACCAAAATCAATAAAAAAAAATTCAAATTTCACTTGAGGGGGGGCTAACCCGTAGTCACGCCCACAAAGTTAGGTAGTGAATACCGCCTCTTGCGTGATAGATCTAACGAAAAAAACAGTTGATCAAACCTGATCTAACGAATATCTACCAAAATCAATGAAAAAATATTCAAATTTCACTTGAGAGGGGGCTAACCCGTAGTCACGCCCACAAAGTTAGGTAGTGAATACCGCCTCTTGCGTGATAGATCTAACGAAAAAAACAGTTGATCAAACCTGATCTAATGAATATCTACCAAAATCAATAAAAAAAAATTCAAATTTCACTTGAGGGGGGGCTAACCCGTAGTCACGCCCACAAAGTTAAGTAGTGAATACCGCCTCTTGCGTGATAGATCTAACAAAAAAAACAGTTGATCAAACCTGACCTAATGAATATCTACCAAAATCAATTAAAAAAAATTCAAATTTTACTTGAGGGGGGGCTAACCCGTAGTCACGCCCACAAAGTTAAGTAGTGAATACCGCCTCTTGCGTGATAGATCTAACGAAAAAAACAGTTGATCAAACCTGATCTAACGAATAGCTACCAAAATCAATAAAAAAAAATTCAAATTTCACTTGAGGGGGGGCTAACCCGTAGTCACGCCCACAAAGTTAAGTAGTGAATACCGCCTCTTGCGTGATAGATCTAACGAAAAAAATAGTTGATCAAACCTGATCTAACGAATAGCTACCAAAATCAATAAAAAAAATTCAAATTTCACTTGAGGGGGGGCTAACCCGTAGTCACGCCCACAAAGTTAAGTAGGGAATACCGCCTCTTGCGTGATAGATCTAATGAAAAAAACAGTTGATCAAACCTGATCTAACGAATAGCTACCAAAATCAATAAAAAAAAATTCAAATTTCACTTGAGGGGGGGCTAACCCGTAGTCACGCCCACAAAGTTAAGTAGTGAATACCGCCTCTTGCGTGATAGATCTAACGAAAAAAATAGTTGATCAAACCTGATCTAACGAATAGCTACCAAAATCAATAAAAAAAAATTCAAATTTCACTTGAGGGGGGGGCTAACCCGTAGTCACGCCCACAAAGTTAAGTAGTGAATACCGCCTCTTGCGAGATAGATCTAACGAAAAAAACAGTTGATCAAACCTGATCTAACGAATAGCTACCAAAATCAATAAAAAAAAATTCAAATTTCACTTGAGGGGGGGCTAACCGTAGTCACGCCCACAAAGTTAAGTAGTGAATACCGCCTCTTGCGTGATAGATCTAATGAAAAAAAACAGTTGATCAAACCTGATCTAACGAATATCTACCAAAATCAATAAAAAAAAATTCAAATTTCACTTGAGGGGGGGCTAACCCGTAGTCACGCCCACAAAGTTAGGTAGTGAATACCGCCTCTTGCGTGATAGATCTAACGAAAAAAATAGTTGATCAAACCTGATCTAACGAATAGCTACCAAAATCAATAAAAAAAAAAATTCAAATTTCACTTGAGGGGGGGCTAACCCGTAGTCACGCCCACAAAGTTAAGTAGGGAATACCGCCTCTTGCGTGATAGATCTAACGAAAAAAACAGTTGATCAAACCTGATCTAACGAATAGCTACCAAAATCAGTAACATTTTGTCCAAATTTCAGTTGAGGGGGGGCCAGCCCCCCCTAATTATATATGCAATATCTCAGTAATTAGACTAGATCAAACAAAAATTTTGCCTGATCAAACCTGATCTAACGTAGAGCTATCATAATCAACAACATTTTCTCCAAATTTTTGTTGAGGGGGGGCTGGCTACGGGTTAGCCCCCCCTGACAATGATTGTTAATATCGCATATTTTAGAGTAGATCTAACGAAAAAAATTGTTGATCAAACCTGATCTAACAAAGATCTAACAAATGGAATAATCTTTTGTTAAAATTCTCAATATGGGGGGGCTAACCCGGGGGTGGTGGGAGCATGGGGTGTGATTGGACAATAACTAATGGACATTCAATAAAGGAGCACGTCTGGCGGGAATCTTACAATAAAATTATCTAAATAGGACTGTATTGATTAATTCTAAAAACAAATTTGCAAGCAGTGTGGAAAACTATGTGTCAGCTTTAATTGTAAAAGACTGTATTTTGTGTCCCCAGTGATTAAATGACAATATGAATACTAAACATACATACTGCATGTAAAGCTGACACGGTAAATCCAAGCATCCAAATCCTTCAGAGCAAGACACCTGCACTAAGAGGTCATGCATCCCAGTCATGACCCCATCCTAGCCATGCACCATACATCCCAGCCATGACCCCTGCACTAAAATGTCATGCATCCCAGCCATGACCCCTGCATCCCAGTCAAGCTTACCAATGTTGCCCTCTATAGAGATCCTCTTGACCTTTCTCCTGCCTGGGGATGATGAGGAAGTGGAGGTCGGTGATGGGGTGAGCTCAATGCACATTCTTTTCGGCGTGGTGGCCATACTATACTAGGTTATAATATGCGGTGCTAAAATATGGTATTGCTGAGTTATGCTAAATTTTAATCTGCGATAATACTGCGCTATTCTACAGCTTGGATCCCTTGCTAACTGTCCTGTGTCTCCCGCGTTGTCACATTTAATAATCGGTTTAATTTTGGCGCCTGCACCGCCCACAGACTCCAGTCACAGTCAGTTCTTTTAGAATCTCATCCAATTCGCAGCGTTCGGAAAAGTCACCGGCAAGGTTCCAGCCAATGACAGAGCAGGAGGCTTGGCTGTTGTCTGTCAGTGTCTGCCCAGTTCCCGTCTGGCGGGCGTTAGAGGGGGCAACATGGGTTATGCTGGTATAGTCACGGGAAGTACAGTGTGTCTGCATTAGTCTGCTAACTTTCAGCAAAATAATAACTGCCCAGACCATACAGGGAGACCGAGATAGAGAGATAATATATATGTATATCGTTTTATGTTTGTTTTAAAGGCTTATTCGCTTAATAGCGAATTACAAAATTTAGGTCAAAACAGCTGAATACAAGGGGAACCGTTCGACAGTTTATTAGTATGGACCTCCCGGAAGTGATCAACCGCACTCCGCTTGAGTATATCCGTTGTAATTCTACCAGGTCAAGCAGTGATTATAAGAGATCCGTTACAGGGGCGCCCAATATATATATATAAAATAAAATTATACTTGCCTTATGAATATTTTTCTCTTCTTGTAGGAATATTCCCAGGCAGTTTTGTGAGAAATGAGACTTGTCTGCCAGAGTGCTTTGAATCACTTTTCAAAAAGTGGGAAAGCACTTATAAGGGCAAATGGTACTGATTTTAAACCAGAGACCGAATGAAACCGAAGGAATAGTGCTTATTTGGTCACAGTGACCAAATTTCAGCTAGATTTGGCAAATACGAAAGTGGTAAATCCAAGCAGCACCCAGTCAACAAGACAAAATTCAGTGTTTAGTAAAATGGGCCGGTGCAAGGATTTTTGTCTGAAGACGTATTTTGCCGCCCCCAAACTTCAACTGCTTCTGTGTGACTATTAACCCCCCCCTTTTGCCTATCTTACCAATTCTATTGCCCCTTTTGTGCATCTTTCCGCCTTTTTGTTTCTCTTTTCATTTTGTATATTGTTTCTCTTTGCATATTGTATTCTGTTTATCATGCTTTTGAGTCTTTATCCCATCTTAAAGGGACACTATAGTCACCAGAACAACCAAAGCTTAACCCCTTAAGGACCAAACGTCTGGAATAAAAGGGAATCATGACATGTCACACATGTCATGTGTCCTTAAGGGTTTAATGTAGTAAAGGGGGGGTTGCACTATAGGGTCTGGAATACATGTTTGTGTTCCTGACCCTATAGTGATCCTTTAAGCCCTATGTGTCTTATCTTTTATCCCCCTTCTGAATGTCTTTCCCTCATTTAATGTATTTTTACAGAGGGACAGGGGACATACACCAATATTAAACACACAATCACACTGCTACACATAGCTAAACACACAACGAGCTACATTCAACACAAGAGTGAATAGGGGACAGTCAGCGCAGTCACACACACCAAACTATTCTGCACAACATACACGCTCTGCTAGACACATTCACTCTACAGACACTGCTCTGGACAGACATTGCTAAATACACAACCAGCTCCAAACATTGCATCCACACAAGAGTGAGGACGGAGCAGTCAGTTCATTCCTTTAAGGGGTTTATGGTTTGTTTGATATGTGCTCAACCAGGCCCCTTAATGGAATACTAGCTATAACCCACTGATTGCGCTCTCATGCAGGCGATGTATGTTGGTTAATTGTCAGTGTGTGAATATGGAGATGTATTTCTGTGGAGTATGAGTGTACAGATGTGGGAAGTATATTTCTGTGGAGCGTCAGTGTGCACGCATGGCAATGTATTTCTGTGGACACCAGAGGACAAATAAGAGACAGGGATGGGAGAGGACTTTGTATGTGTGTATGGAGGCCGCCTGTGGTGGTGTATGTGTGGTGCCGATGTGGATGTAAACGTGTTGTGTATGTGGGTGTAGGCTGCCTGAGTATTGTGTGTGGAGACTGGTTGTGGTTGGATGTTTGTAGAGATCTAAGTTGTTTTGATGCTGCTTATGATGTGAAGTGGGGCAGGCATACAAGAAGGTGTTGCATGTTTGTAGGGACTCTGTAGTGGGGTTTTGTGTGGGAGAAGTTACGTGTAAGGCTGCTTGTGGAGAGGATTGTTTATGGTGTTCTGTATGTGTATGGATTTAACTTTAGTGCTTGGATAGGGGCTGTAATGCATGGTGAGGTAGTGGTTGTGATCTGAGCAGCAGCTGCAGTGTGTTTAGGATGGATAGCAGCTGAAGTGTTGGGGGATAGGAGCTTTAACCCCTTAAGGACACGACATGTCATGATTCCCTTTTATTCCAGAAGTTTGGTCCTTAAGGGGTTAAAGTGTGTGTATAGGGAGGATAAGGGCTTTAGAGTATGGGGGGTGTTGGGGAAATTGGGCTGTAGTGTGTGAAATAGGTGTAGTATTGTGGGGGGATAGGGGCTATAAGAATGGCATTTAAAAAAATGGTACTCTCCCCCCCAAAAATGTGCAGCTAACCTTGACATGCAAGAATACCCAAAACAAAATAATTTCCCTTCCTCCTTGTTTACCTTGGGCCAGGGAGGGGGTAGATTCAAACATTGGTGGTCCATTTGGTCTGCACCTCCGGAAAGTTCACTGCTCCATCTGCCGGTATTCTGTATAATGAAAATATATAAAACCAAGAGGCTTCACTTACCTGAACATGCATACATTATAAGGGTACTGCTGGGGCCAATTAATACAACATACAAGATCCACTGCACTCACTCATTTACTAAACAGCAATTTCAAAGCTCACCCCCTGAGACGTCCATCGTCCTGCAGTGAAGGATGAGGATTGAGCTGCAGGGACACTTGCAATTGGCACGGTTACCAACCCAAGCTGGGTTTTCATTAGTCAAAATAGTAATTTAAAAGCAGGGACAAGGGGGCGTGGCCTGACCGTCGATGGGACTGGACGCGTCTCACTAGAGCTCCGCTCAACTTGCGCTGAAAAGCTATCATAAGCGACCTTACCTTTAACTTTGCCCCCTGCTGGGACCCACAATATAGAGAAGAGACTCCCCAAGAAACAAATGAAGAGGGCCACAGAGTCCGGGGGAACCGTCCTTGACCTCCTCACGGCTCAAAGGCCAAGCAGATCGGGGATCCAAGATGGCGACGGAGCATCCCCAGAGGGCTCTCCTCGTGCCGCTGCAGAGGCCTCCCACGCTGATCAGCATACAGTGCTGGCAAAACTGTCAGAAGTCAGAGCCTTTCTGGCTGGAGAGATCGCAAAATCAACATCAGTCCTGCAAGCCGATATCGGTGCTTTGAGGGAGCGCACGGCGAAATTGGAGGAACGTATGGAAGCAACATCACGGGCCCATAACGATGTAGTCGATAGAGTAAATCACATCACAATGCACCTGGTGGACACAGAACTAGCCCTGGAAGACATGGCAAACGGCTCTCGGAGGAACAACCTCCACTTAAGGGGCTTACCCGAAGAAATGATGAGGATCTGCAGGGGCTCCTGCTTACCATCTTCAAGCCTCTCCTTCCGAATCTACCGGAGGAGCAATGGCACATAGAAAGGGCACACAGGGCCCTGAGAATGCAGATATCTGACTCCAATGTCCCAAGAGATGTTATAATTCACTTCCTCCACTTCAAAACTAATAAAGTGCTCATGAAAAAGGGCCGGGAGGGGCCCATCCAATATGCAGGCGTGTTACTATCCCTCTACCAAGATCTGACTCCTTCCACGCTACAACGGAGAAGGGAGTGGCGGCCCATCACAGGAGCCTTGCGAGGAGCAGGCATCAAGTATGCCTGGGGATACCCCTTTTACTTGTGTTTCATGGAGATCGAGTACATACCCTGACTCCAGGAGGAGATCTCCTTCGGCTGTTCCATTGCTGACACATTTGCGGGTATTGTAAGTCTTTCTCACACCACAAAGAGCCCCGAATCCTGTCGGGGCAGGGGGGGGGGGGGATCAGGAACCCTTCATGTTATTTGGGTGGAGGGGGACATGGGCAGGGGACCTTACACGCACACAATGTGAGACCGACTTCCCCCATATTCTAAAGTTAAACCTAAGGTGTTGGTTTTGAGTTTGGCTCCACAGAAATGGCACTGGGGGATTGAACTCTTATCCACAATGAGAAGAGGCCTTACCGGGTTGCGGCCGGGTAAGGGGTGACCCCTCACCGACCACAGAGGATCTGGTCATGCTGTTTGGGAGGGGGAGGGGGAAGGGGCGACATGGAAGGCACATAGCCAGTGATCAAATGGCAGAGTCCACTGTACATAGGCAAAAAGTATCTTTCCTGCATTATATCGGGACTCCCTCAACTTATCAAACTTGGAGGAGATAGGACTGTTTTTTGTTACCTGTTTTTTGCTACTTGTTTTTGCTTTTTTACTTCAATGTGTGCTTGCACCCCCCCTGTCCCCCTGAACGGGTCCAACAGCACAGTAGGGCCATAATGACCTCCCAACGGGCTATAAGGGACTCCCCACTGGAGTTGGACACAGCAGACATGGTCGATCTGGCCACGAACCCACTGGTACACTAACAGCTATTACACTTAGATTCCCTACTGAGTCATTATGGATATGCCACAATAATGCATCATACTACCCCCGGGGAGCGAGTGTCATGAAAGCCTGACCCCTCCTCTTCCCCCCTTCCCATTCCCTCCTGCCCTCCCCCCCTACCCCTCCACCCCTTTTTTTCTCCCTTCCCTCACGGGGCACAATATTTGGCATTACTACCCCAGATACTATGATTTAATACACAACGATGTATGGCTCAGATGGTTTCTTTAGCGTGCTACTACTCACCCGGTTTAGTCTGTTCATTTCTGCCAGGAGTGTACCGATAGGGGTGCACAGTGTCTATTGTTTAAATGTTTTTCTCCTTCTCCGGCCCAATCATACCGATACAGGTCCGAAGTTAACTTGGGGTGTGTGAAGGGGGGCTTCCCCCACATTCATTCATTTGTTCGATAAAGTGCTACCAGGATGACTGTGTGTATGTAATTGAAAACATCTATTAAAATCTCCGGAGAAGAAGATATATATAACTTGGTAAAAACGCTTATATACTAATGTAGAAATTTACAAGGAGAGGACCTGAACCGCTTCGATTATACCAATGGTATAATGTCCACTATGGTCACCCCTAGAAATTGGTGTATCTGTGAATTGTTTTTGTCAGTATAGCCCCTTACTACGAGGTGTACCCAAACCGGGAATTGTATAAGCCCTATAAGGTCTGGCCCTAAAAGGTCTAGAAACGGTCTGGCATCGATGGAATTGACAGCGAGATAGAGAAGCTACCTACTAAACCCTGAAACTATTAGGAAAGGATTGTGATCGTGCCAAGGGGAGGGAACCTGTCACCAGGAAAGGTAGGTCCATGTCTCGGGATTGGGACTATGGGTCTCCCCCCCCTTGCCGCTACCACAATTGGATGTACCATACTTATACTAAGCATGTATCTAATAGCATGAGGTACGATAAGCTGACAGCGATACACGTTGCAGGACAGCTAGGGACAACACCTGGGGTGCATGATACTATACTACCCACTTAATCCTAACATTAACCTCACTGGAGACAATGGAACAGCCAAGGATACACAAGGGGACGATGGGCGGGACCCTTCCAGAAAATAGAAGCGGAGGTAGGGGCTATACAGACTGTCCTTCAGCTTTAGTCCCAAACTTGTGAGATCAATGTATATAGTTTTGCAGATCATCTACTCCTCTTATTTTTAGTCAAAACCCCTAAAGAGTCTCATATAATTAGATGTATCATAAAAAGGTTTGCAACAGGCAATCTAGAACTATTACTAATGGGGGTAGAACTTTGGCTATCCTCCCCACAATATCCCACTATAATCTGGAGGGTCAGTGAATGTCTTGCTAATTCTGGGTAGCATATAGCAAAACTCAGGACAATAGGAATATTTTCAAAAAAGAACTCCAAATAGCTCCGTGTCCATAATTTCTTATTTATATTTATCTTTATCTTTATTGCCTTGGTTACAACCCTTTCAGCCCTATTTTCGTAGGCTTGCTGTATGGTCAGTAGTTTATGTCTATATGTCATTTTAATTAATTTCTTGGATGACTAGGGGCGGGGGATGGATTCGAGGGGAGGGGGGTCATGGAGAAGCCCAATAGTTAACAAGTGGGAGGGGGCTGGCACGACTGTTAGGCAACATATAGGTACCCAGGGCAAAGCGCAGAAACACCGGAAATAGAATTACGCAACATAAGTTACTCAGGAGGACTTAACATTGTCGGGGGAACTAAAGGAGTGATGCCAGACCGGAAAACTCCTTATGTACTAATGTACACCCAGAGGTCCATACAGCAAAGGAAGGGCGCGTAGGGGACAGAGCCCAAGACCCACTGTTCCTTCCAACGTTGATCGTGGCTGGGATGTGGGTTCATGCTCCCCACAATATTCTGGCGGTTGGTAAGCCCAGAATCTCTTTGTATCGGTCAGAGTCCAGATGCCACAATTCTTCACTAAGGATCTTTTCCTTCCTTTCTTCTTTCCTTTTCTTTTCTCCTTTTCTTTTATCTTATTCTGGGGAGTTGTGGGGGTTGGGCTGGGGGTATCCCCGAGACTATGGTGGGGTGAGAGACGGAATGTTAAGGGACTCAACGCTCCCAGGAAGCGCCGCCTCATGTTTAAAGAATTAAAAAGGATGAAATCAGATATAACGTACATACAGGAGACCCATGTACCTAAACAAGCCAAGTTCAAATGGAGAGGCCAGGCGTATAATGGAACATATGAAGCTAGGGCTCACTGAAAATGTAACGGTGTAGCCATCCTTATCAGAAGCAGTTGCCCCTTCCAGCTGACATCCCATGAGGCTGATCCAGAGGGCCGCTACGTCATGGTACTCCCACACCATTCATCTGATAAATATTTACGCGTCGAATCGACCTGACCCCAGTTTCTGGAATATGTTACGGGAGAAGCTCTCAGGTATGGTGTATATGGGGGGCGACTTCAACGCGGCGCCATGTCCAGCGGTGGACAGGAGATCACGAGACGGCATACTGAGGTCACAGGGACGGGGTGGACAAGACCGGCTTCTCAAAGAATTCATAGCTGACACTGGGATGATAGACATATGGCGAGCCCAACACCCGGCAGAGAAGGACTATTCATTTTATTCCGCCCCACACGGAACATACTCGAGGATAGACTTATTCCTGACAAATGGGACGGGAATGTCTCGAGTAGTCGGGTCGCTAGTAGGCAACATATCATGGTCCGACCATGCCGACGTATGTATCATCCTGGGTAACCTCTGCTTGGCATCGCCGTGGATGTGGAGACTGAACGCGTCCCTGTAGCAGATTCTGAAGGAGATTACAGAATACTTTGATACTAATAACACCCCGGAAGTAAGATTGGGTACGGTGTGGGCGGCACATAAGGCCATAGTGAGGGGGATCCTGATTAAATTGGCCACCAGAAAGAAAAAACTGAAACATCAACAGCTGGAAATAGGGATCGACCGATTATCGGTCTGGCCGATATTATCGGCCGATATTTGGTATTTTCGGCAATATCGGTATCGGCCAATTCAGATACCGATATTGCCGATAATATATTACAGGACCGCCGTGCCCATTAGAAGCCCGGCGGTCCTGTGGGGGCCAGCAGCAAGCGATGACTTACCTTGCAAGCAGCTCCTACAGCTCCCTATGTAAATCTCGCGAGACCCGCGGCCGCAGAGCGTTGCCACGGGTTACCATGGCAACGCTCCGCGCGGCACTAAGAGCCGCGAGATTTACATAGGGAGCTGTAGGAGCTGCTTGCAAGGTGGTAAGTCAGCGCTTGCTGCTGCTGAGCCACCACTGTACTTAACAAGCCACTGGACCACCAGGGAATACTATATCCCCCTCCCTGGTAAGAAGCAGGGAGGGGGGACTAAATAAAAAATAAAAACATTTTTAAATATTAAAAAAAAATTACACAAATTACATCACTACACACACACACACACTGCACACATACTGCATTACATACACACTACACAAACACACACTGGGGGGGACTAAACAAAAAAAAAAATTAAATATTAAAAAAAATATTAAAATAAAAAATTACACAAATTACATCACTACACAAACACACACACACACACACACTACACAAACAGACACTGCACACATACTGCATTACATACACACACACTGCATTACATACACACACTACACACACAGACACTACACAGACACTACACACACACCACAAACACACACTGCACACATACTGCATTAGACACACACTGCACACACTACACTGCACACACACTGCATTACATACACACTACACAAACACAGTACACATACTGCATTACATACACACACACTACACAGGCACACACACTGCATTACATACACACTACACAAACACACACTACACAAACACACACTACTACTGCATTACAGACACACTGCACACACTACACTGCACACACACTGCATTACATACACACACTGCATTACATACACACTACACAAACACAGACACACACTGCATTACATACACACTACACAAACACACACTACACAAACACACACTGCATTACATACATACACACTACACAAACACACACACACTGCATTACATACACACACAAAAACACACTGCATTATACACACACACTACATAAACACACTGCATTATATACACACTACACACACTGCATTATATACACACACTATGCATCCACTACACACACACACACACACTACACAAACACACACAGTTCCCCTGTCTAAACACACTTCATCCACTACATGTGGCATGTATATTTTGTGCATTTACCTTTCGAATTAGTTTATTTATTCAAAATAGTAAATGTACAGAATATCGGCAAGATATCGGCTATCGGCCTGAAAGTTCGCAGATTATCGGTATCGGTATCGGCTCTAAAAAATCAATATCGGTCGATCTCTAGCTGGAAAACCTACTGGGACAGTTGAGATCGCTCGAGCAAAAACACCAAACTGTACCTGGGGGAGATACCTACGAACAGTTAAGCGCAGTGAGACAATCTATTCGTACACTATTACTAGACAACACAGCTAGGTTCATGACCTGGACGAGACAGACATACTTTAAAAATGCTAACAAGATGGACACCCTACTGGCCAGAACGCTACGACCCAGGCAGAACCGGCCCCACATCACAGCTATTAAACATCCAGACGGAACAACCAAATCCAAACCAAGTGAGATAGCTAAGGTATTTGAGGAATTTTATAAGCAGCTATACAATAACACACCAGATGGCAACACAAATGAGAAGCAGGAGGAACAACATATCCTCACTTACCTCAACAGTCTAGGGATGAACAGATTAAATGGAGAGGCGATAGTTAGACTAGCCGCAGACATTACTGAAGATGAAGTGGACAAAGCCATATCAAAGGCAACAAAGCGCCGGGACCAGATGGATTCGATGGCTCATATTACAAATACTTTATAGAGGAGCTCATACCACAACTAGTGCGACTGTTCGATGACCTGAGGAGGGGAGGGTGGCTAGATCCTGACATGACCATAGCCACCATAGTATTACTGCCCAAACCGAACAAAGACCCACTACGACCGGAGAACTTTAGGCCTATATCGCTAATCAATCACGATCTAAAAATTGTAGCGAGGATACAAGCAGATAGGTTATACACGCGGACCAGGTCGGCTTTATCCAGGGCAGGCAATTGTCTGAAAACACTAGAAGGAACATTGATTTGATTTGGAGGCAAGTGGCCACTAGAACTCCTACATTAGTGGTCTCCATCGACGCAGAAAAGGCCTTTGGTCCAGTGGTAATTTAGCGCCCTGCCAGTGGGTTTAACAGAAGACGAGATGGGAAGGATACGGGAGACCCATAAGATCTGGTTGGAGACGAACTCCTTGACATACTTAGGGATCCACTTAACGGCAGACCCGGGACGCCTATACCTTACCAATTACGTCCCCATGCTTCGATCATTGATCAGTGACTTGGAAAAGTGGAAAGACAAGCCTATCTCCTGGATAGGACGGATTAATTCTGTGAAAATGAATATTCTTCCACGTATATTGTTCTTGATTCAGGCACTACCTGTGTGCATTACGAAATCTCAATTGGTTCCTCTACAAAGATCATTAGGGGATTATATATGGCAACACAAGAGACATAGAATTTCCAGACAGGTGTTATATCGACGCAAGGACAGATGTGGACTGGGGCTGCCGTGCTTATATTTTTATTACCTAGCGGCCCAACTAACGCAGAAAACCATGTTACTATGGTACACCACACCCATACAACTTTATCATATGCACAAAACAGACACTGATGTATGCTGGAGGGGTTGCGGAGCACGTGGTACTTACATACACATGTGGGAGTGCCCGAAAATCCAAGACTTCTGGAGGTCCGTTGGGGATCTACTGAAACAGACTTTCGATAGGCCCCTGGCTTTGGACCCTTGGGTATATCTGCTTAATAGGTCAGTGGACAGATGGACCAGGAGGGAGCAGAAGTTAATACATAAGATAACTAAGTGCACGCCGAGCAATTGCAACCGCATGGCTTTTGCCAGAGGGCCCAGAATTCCCGGGGGTTATACCCAGAATAAGGGAATGTAGAATAATGGATGACCTGATAGCAAGGGTAAAAGGAATGATGGAGACTTTCCAGAGACTGTGGGAACCATGGGACAACAGCGCATTAGGCTCGAGCAGCGACTGACGGGGATTGGTTAGAGAGAGGATCCGAAACGGCAATAGTGACAACAGAAGCGCCCTACTGAAGAACATAATATCATGCTTAGGGGGCCCCCTGCCCTCCCTCCCCTCTTCCTTCACTCCCTCCCCCTCTGCCTATTTTCATCTTCTCACTCTTTTTCTTTCTGTTACTAGTTTTTCGCTTCTTTCACTATCCCTCTCTTGATTTTATTCTCTCTTATTATTATGGCCATTCCCCTGATTTCAGGGGGGGGGGGCAGTCTCTTTTTAATTTTTATTTTTTTGCCAGGCATGACTAAAAGGTTTGAAGGAACAGAAAAGCCCTTGGGCTGGTTGAAAAGGGCTCCAAAGGTCACTGACAAGCCTGCTCCATAAATCAATAAAAAATACCCTCGATGGGAGGCAAGCCACAAAAGGTTCAGGATTGGGCATGTGTTGTATCGTTCGGTTTGTACTGTTCAAATTGCATATTATTTTCACGAACTGTATCTCAGTTGGCTTCTGCGAAAGCCCAACAGTTAATGTATACTTGCTTTGTCTGTCAAGTGAAAAAAATAAAGAATTTAAAAAAATAAATAAAAGCATGGACAAAAATGTGCAGAATACATAGAACATTTCTAAAAGGTACTTAAAACCCTAAACATTTTTGCAGCTCACCTTAATATATACTTGCTTACAAATCTCTACACAATGCTGTTTCAACCTACTTATCCTCACGAATACACAAATATGTCCTATCTAGGCCCCTACCGCTCTGTCAGAGACCTACATCTAACCTATGTCCGTACTCCTACCTCTGATGCTCGCCTTAAACACTTTTCTAGGACTGTACCATTCCTATGGAACACCCTTCCTCTCTCTGTTATACTTTCACCCAGTCTCCACTCCTTCAAAAAAATCTCTGAAAACGTACTTCTTCAGGAAGCGTATTAATTAAACTGTCTACAGCTTTTTCACCCCACACCCTGATTCATCTCCTGAAACTTATCAAAACAAAACACTAAGTCTCAGCAATCAACCTTTTGTGTCACTATACCCCACTCCCTCTAGCATGTAAGCTCACTGAGCAGGGCCCTTAATCCCTCTGTTCCTGTGTGTCCAACTTGTCTGGTTACAAATACATGTCTGTTAGTCTACCCATTGAACAGTGCTGCGGAATTTGCTGGCGCTTTATAAATAATAATGTAAGTACATCATTGAAGCATCTTCTGTAGCCACAATGGTGATCAGTATTTCTTGATACATCCAAATGAGCTTTGCACAATCTACTAAAATTACATCTTTTGTTATTTCACATGAAAATTGCTACAGTACCCAGCAGTCTGATGGTAACATAAATCACTAGAAATGTATAATTCTATGCATCTGGAAACCTCTCTACGTGATAAATTGTACTGCTTGTATTTAACCACCTTTGATTGCTTCTTTTATACGGTTTGATTCTAATAAAATCTTTACTAAAGTATAGAAATAAACTAGCATATAAAGTTTCAGTCTTATCAACTAATTTCCATCCATACTGCTGGGCTGAGATCGCTAAACCACCACAAGCACTCATGCAAATAACTGCCTTCATAGGTGAACTAAACGGACATTGATAATGTGGATATTTTAAAGGAACACTCCAGTGCCTAAATACAAAAATAAAAATCTGTTTAGCAGATATACCCCATATGGAAAATGGATACATTAAATTATGCATTTTTTTTAATTGGCGATATAGATCTAAAAACAGCTTGCAAAACCTGCGTTCTCGTCTGCAGCCTTTGCAAACCCTCCTCTTCTAACCCAGCCCAGACTTTCTGTGGTTATCCAATCACAGACTTCCCAATGCAGCTCAACGAGAAGTATTTTCAAGGCAGGTGCTCTGGGCAATTTCTGCCTCTTGAGCTTAGCTTAGCTGTGCTAACCAAACTAGGAAGTTACATTATCTGTTGTCAGTTTGAAAGCCGGGGAGGTGTAACCAGGTTACTTTATAAGAAAGTCAATTTCTATTGAAATATGCACCTTTTGCAATATGGAAAAAAGGAGACACCTCTTCACATATATAGTTTTTCCGCAAGCTAAAGTGCTTTAGGGGTCTGGAGTGTTCCTTTAATTATTGCATTATAAATGTGGCTAAAGTGCAGATGGTCTCCAGGAACTTTAAAGAGCCCTGTTTTTGTCAAACAGTGTGACATTAAAGGGACATTCTGGGCAGTATAACCATTTCATCTCAATTAAGTCGTTATGGTGGCTAGAGTCCCCTGGTAATACCATGCAGTTCATTGTTATACAGTTTATGAATGGTGTAGTGTCCCCATGGCAACTGTAATAGGCTAAAAACAGTTTGCTGACTCTCTCTGACTATCATTAGAGCACACCATTGCTGGCTGGTTGCAGAGACTCTTATTCAATGTTGAACCATTCCAAAACTGTTGATGCCAAAATTCTACTAATGATGCTGACAGGAGCACAAAATGCAGACAAATGATAACCCCGAGCTGGCCAGCCTGCTCACAGCAAATATGGGTGTGATCACAGCCATTATACAGTCAAAGCCACCATAAATCCAGAACACGGAATGGGTTTCCCAGGATTTGGAGATACTTCTCTTCTGGGATAGATGGAAGTTGGCCACAAATTATTTAGAGGGCCAGAATGGAGGTACTTTGGTACTTCTGCTCTATATAAACATGACTTGGTAATTATGAGACATTGGTCAGCCTGTGTTCTACCTACTCATGTCAAGAATCAAATGTCATAATAAACATGGACTGCTGTCATATTTCAGTCTTAATCAGAAAATAAGTACTGTTGAAAGATAAAGAAAAAGAAACAATATATGGTTAAACAAGATATTTATTTATTTTTTCATAAAAACAGCATTCATTTTTTTTTTTACTAAAGAAAAAGAGATTTTAAATATTTTAAGCCATCAAATACAATCTGTATACATTATTTACATCTGACTACATTTGAAGTTCAAACATTCTAGTTCTGTCTTGCTTGTTCACTTCAATATTTTAGTTCCATATTAAAAACTTGAAGCGATATTGGCACACATAGCTTACAGTTACTTTTGCGCATTAAACACAACTAGTAAAATCCTGCTTTAATAAAAGTGAGGGAGAGAGAGAGAAAAAAAAGTTTTCTTTTGGAAGAATTGTTCAGCCCAATCTGTTTTTTCTACAAAGCAAATATTTCTCATCACAAAAAAACAACAACTTGGTTTCTGTTAGGGGTGAACCACATTTATATCATTTTTTAAAGGTTTTTACGCTAGATTTAAACTGCTATCAACCCATAAAATAGCTGCTGGAATTGTATCTTAACTGCGGGATGACAGTAGTGCTAGAGTGTTGATGTTTTACATTATCATGCAAGCAGTACAAATCCTACTGTATCTAAATTAGACTGCAGTGCAGATATTCTCCAGTGTAGAATTTCTGAATTGTTATTAATACATAGAAAACTCCCAACCTCACTTTCCTGCATCAATAATTGCATCCAAGGGAGTAGTATGTGATAATGGCAAAACATGTATAGAGTCAAAACCATAAGTGGCACAGCAGTTGCGAGATAGTGGTCTGAATGTTTTGCATATATTAATATCTTCGCCTGATTTAAAGTTTTTTTTGTTTTTGTTTAATCCTGTAGTATTTCAGAATATCACTGCA